AGGGTGGCCAGTTCATAGTTTGTATCCCAACCTCGTCTAAATAATCACGGAACACACTTGCAACACGTAAGACCAAAGTTTGTACTTTGTTGGTCTTAACATATTTTTCGCTCTTAGTTGAGGGCCTACACCAAAGTAACAGCGGTTAACCACGCATATTCTTTTTCTTATTTCTATGGATGTGTTGTTTTTGCAGTCAACCAGTGGCTCTATTTATGATTTTATAACAAAGATAAATGAGGGTTATGAAAACAAAGATATTACCATGGGCATAGTTTTAGATTTATCAAAGGCATTTGATACTTTAGGGAAAAAGAAAGCTTTACAGATATGGGATTAGGAAACCAGGTTATAATTGGATATAATCATACCTATCAAACAGAAAACCGAAAGTAAAATTTGAGTACGAGGGAAGGAATTGTTTCTCTGGTGAAGGTCTCATTTCGGTGGGAATTCTTCAGGGAAGTATTATGGGTCCTCTTCTCTTTGTTTTTTATGTAAATGATTTAGATTTAGACATTACAGATAATATTCAGAATACTCCAATTGCAGAATTTTCAGATGATAACTACTAACATTTTAACTATAGGGTCATCCTTGAATAATTTATTGAATATCGCTAATAATAGATTAGATAAAGCACAGGTATGGCTCAATATGAATAAACTCATACTGAACAGAGAAAAAACAAATTATATCCGTTTCGTTACTAAAACAAATAATAGTACCTTACCAGAAACTGTGTCAATTCAATCGCAAATGGTTACTCTAAACCGAAGCACAAAATTTCTGGGGGTACATATTGACCAAAATTTAGATTTTGGAGTGCATATAAATGAGATCTCTATCAGGTTAGCATCTATCTGCTACTCTTTCAGAATAACAGCAAATTATTTTTGCAAAAAATGTAAACGAGTTGTATATTTTTCAAATTTTCATTCTGTAATGCGATTTGGAATAGTCTTCTGGGGGGAAGTGATAACGCTGAACAGGTTTTTATATTACAAAAAAGAGCAATCAGAACTCTACTTAACTTGAAATACAGAGATTCATGTAGAGGTAATTTCAAAAAGCTAAACATACCAACAATGGCTGAAACATACATATATGAATGCTTACTTTTTATTTATTAAAATAGACATAAATTCTTGAAACACAAAACAAACCATAATACTAATACACAAAACAATCTCATAAACTATAATATACCAATACATAGACTAACAGGATCTGAGAAAACCACAGAATATGCCTGTATTAAATTTTTTAATAAACTGCCTTACAGCATCAAAATAGAAACTGACATAAATAAATATAGAAAGTCTGTTCAACAGCTGCTCATACACCTTGAACCTTAGAAAGTGAAAGAATACCATCAAGCTGACATGCGGGGAGACTGAGAGATCTTATCTGAATCTAAATGTCACTGTTATTATTATTATATATTATTATTAATTTTATGTTAAGTGTAGGTTGTTACAGCAACCATTATAAATTGTAATTGACACCATTCTCTCTATTGACAATTTATTTTTGTGTGTAACTTATGAATCCTGAGAATAAAGCTTTTTTTCTATTCCATTCTAAGTAGAACTCTTCCACCATTTCTATAGTTTCGTGTTGCACCTCATAAGTTATTTTGTTGTATTATTAAAATATAGCCGGCATATATTTAGTTTTCTGGGAGTTAATCAGAAGTCCGATGTTTTCTGCGGTGTTTTTAATACGTGTTAAAGCTACAACTGAGTTCTTACAATAATAACGATATAAGCAGCATATGCCATTATTTGTATACTACGAGTATATATCGTACCCGTAGTATACAAATATAAGTTTATTCCCGAATCTCTAACTGTTTCTAAGACTAGATTGAACAGCTTACAGATTGAACAGATTGAACAGTCTATGTCGTACGATCAATGGTAGATCCGTTTTTCAAAAACCATTTTTGGTACGATTCTATTATATTGTCAGTATACTGTGCCAATCGTTCGTTACGTATCAGGGACAAAATTTAATAAAATTTAATAAAAATTATATCCTCATAAAATATAGGTATTTAACTATTGAATGGCGCCGATTTTACTTTATAATTGTTACTAGATCAGACTTATAGAAACAAATTAGCTGTGGTTTTTAAACAAATAGCAAATAAACACAAAGCTAACTCCACTTCTATTGGTCTTATTAAGTATTAAGTTAGTATCAACTTCGGTAAACCAAGTCTTTTTTACTTCACATTTATCTTTGTGTATAGTATGTAATGACATATTCTCATCATTGAAAACAACTGAAAAATTAGTTTTTAAGTCGACATATTCCCAATAATCTCTATTATTCTGTTAGAATTATTAATAAGACACGTAAATATATTCTATTTAATTTCGATATACCTCAACTCAAATAAAACGAGTTTTTTGTCTTGTCCGCTTTCCGTTAAAACTGATTGATTCTTTACACAATTCGAAATTATTTTACCACCAATTCTCCCATTCTAAATATAAAAAAAACTATCATTTTTTCGACCACAAATACCAACCGCCTTGCTAATTCGTTACAAAAAACAAGTTTTTTATCTGTCCAGAACTGGGTCAACAATATCTATTCATTTTTCGGAACTCTTAAAGGGGCCATAAATCTTTAGATTTATTGTTTTTATCCTTATGCAGTTTCTTCGTAATGTATAAAAAAGAGTTTTTAGAGCCCACCGTTTGGGACATGTAAAGTTCGTTATAACCGTTGAAAGATTGGCGGTTATTTTTCCCTATAAAACCGCAATAAAATTTCCCAATCAAAGCGCCATTTGAGACTTCGTTCTCGGCCCTCGTGGCAAACAGTGATTATATTCTCAGACTTACTTCGCGGCCATCGTGCCAGTAGTTATATACCAGACACATCTTAAGTTTTCGCATCCGGTCTTTGTGCCAAACACTAGTTATTTCAAGACCTCTCTCTCAGAGTTCGAACTCGATCCTCAAGTAGGATAGTTTTTACACGTGCTCTATGTAAACCTTACCTTCGTATAAATAGCAGAAAAATAAATAGTGTAAGTTAAATACTTTTATAAACTACAATCTTTGTAAACTAGAGTTCAACGTAAAATAAACTGCCATTAAATACAACAAAAATTATTATTACCTTTTCAACATAGAAATTGTTTTTGACGAAGGATTATCTAATCCAAGTCCAACTACTTAGCCAGTTCCAACGTCTGTCCCGCTTCTTGTGTTGTAGAAAGTATAGTCAAAGTATTACTGAGTATAATTTTGAGAAAGAGTCAAAACATTTTTCTACAAAATTTTTAATTGTTCTTTCTAGAATAATGTGAGGATAGCTTTTGGCCAGCAATTAGTTTATTTGAAAGCATAGGGAAACTAATTATACAAACAAATGGATTGGAAGGACAGGTCATATTGAGTGGACACCGAGGTCACCAGATTTACCGCCACCTTACTTTTTTCTCTGGGGTTACGTCAAGTCAGTTGTTTATAAAACTCAACCTGTCACTTAGGGAATTGCAACAAAAACCTCATTAAATTTTCCATTTAAGCCAAAGTTTCACAATTATTGCTTCACCCTGTATAATTATTATTTATACCATTAGATAGCATTTTTTATAGTCTTTTGAATGATGTATCACAAGTAGGGGTTTGCACTTTAAACTTTTTTGGTTGTGGTGGGTGGGGCCTAGGGGGTTGATGGGGGTGAGTTCTATTTCATGTCAATTTAGTTCCCCCTTACTATCCTAGAAACGGTTTCAAGCATTTTTCGATATCAGCTTTTGTTCGTGAGATATAGACCATTGCAAGTTTTAAAATTGACACACTGTATGGATAATTTTGGTTCATCCATATACCATGATTATGGTTCGCCACTACCATATTGTTATTTTTAGGCTAAAATTAGTCATTGGAGTTCCGTAGCTGGGATCCATTGCTAGATAGAACGAGTCCATTTTGGATAGCTTGTTATTATTTTTATTGATAAATCAAAATTCCCTATTTATGAATTAGACAAATAAAATATTTAAGTAATGTAGGTTTTAATATTTAGTTCATTATACTAAAGAATTTTATAAAAAATAATAAAAACAATTTTGTCAGGTGAAATTCCCTGTATGTTTTGGATAATACAAATCATACAACACTCAACACTGTAGTTTATTTCCTATTAGGTGCTTGATTGATTGTGAAATAGTTTTTAAAATAAACCATACAGTATAAATAAACAGCATCACATCATTTGCCACATAAACTAATTACTTCCTACTCTATGGGAGTCCCAGGGCGGATACCCAATACATAAAGGAAAGTAAACAATATTCAATTTATACCCTGAATAATTTATTCTTATTATAAGAATATCATAGAAATTGCAAATATGTAATACTTACCTTTCGCTCGTAGACAAATATATCTTCAATCAACACTTTCAACTTTTAAACAACTTAAAACTTAAAAAATTTTTCTCGTTGGATTAGTGACCACCAATAATCACGGCAAAGATACCACGTTTGAATGAAATAAGATCGAGAATCGCATACCGATACCCCGACCCGGCATACCTATGGACACGTCAGTCCTTTTCTATTCGATTTTCTAGATATCATTATAACAGCATAGACACAAATTTATTACGACTTTTCTAATATTTGTCATATATCTTAACCTTAGTATGAACTATAAATTTTATTGCGATAATAATGCATATTAAAACATTTTTCCTCACAATTTACATTATGATAAAAGTATAATATTTAAACACTGATGATTTTAATCGATTTCATGAATCATTTAATCGATTAATTATATCGAAATATAAGGATTATGTTTCCTTGTACAAAATTAAAAACTCAGATTAATATAGTGTAATTATTATATTTATTATAAATAGCAGATATCCGATTACATCCCAGAATTTAAAATTCTGCAGCACTACACAGAAGTCAAATCAGGTTCATAAAAAATAGGGGAGGTGCACATGACGTACACTGTCAAACTGTCAACATCGTGCACATTATAAACAAACATTAAAGTGCAATTTCTATAATATAGATATATTATATTTATAATATAAAGTTATACAAAAACATCTGTTAAAAACCAGTATTTTCTGATAAAAGTTCTACCTCGTTTTTTACATACAATATTTCTATTACGCTATTTCCTACTTTAATCATTCAGGAAACAATTTTTTATTGTGAATAATTGTTATGACACTACTTTCCTGGTAAAATGTTTAGAAGAAAACAACCTAATAAGGCTAAACTCGAACATAAATTATATTTGGTAAGTTTTTAAAACATACATTTACTCTCATCAACTACTCATTCCAAATAAACAATGCAGAATATAAGTAATTCATTAACGCGTAGATATTGTTAAATAATACTTAAGATTCTTGTTTAAAAATAACAATGTTAAATATTAGTATATTTGGAGTAATGAGTACAGCCATTATATCCTTATTTACTATCAACTACTATATATGCATGATTAATGGGAAATACCCATGATCCATATCAAAACAAACTTTTGTTTGTATTGGATGGAGTACACTAACACTGTACACTCTATAATGCTATAATATAACATAATATATAGAATACATATATCGTCGTTAGGAATGAAATATCTCCAATGTGAAAATATCCTAATTTTACAGGAGACACAAAAAACAGTTAAATAACGCTATTTTATATTGTATGAAATTAGTAATTGATTTTTTTGGCCAAACTAAGATTGATATTGATATTAAGGTGAAATTGATTCCTAAATCAGTACAAAACATTAAACTAATAAAAAAAATATTACAAACGCGCACATTGGAGAAATTATAAATGATTGAACCGGTACATAGCAGGAATTTCAAATATTGTGTATGGCATGTCATAGTACTATACACCTTGAATTTGGTGTTATTAGGGGAAAAATAGTCATATAAACAGTGAAGTGATTTGTATTATCTTTATTTTAAATAAACAAACTTCGACATGTAATATCAGTTTATGATATTTTTACGAACACCACCGAAAGTATTATTTTTTGTTGATTTTAGGAAGAGTATCGTAAAAGTGATGATGATCTTTTTCAATAACTGATTTGAGGTCTTGCAGACGTTTGAACTTGTCTTCTGATATTTCAGGAGGTGTCTTGAAGAGCGAGTTTTCATAAACCGACAGGTCTTGGCTTTCTCTTCTGTGTGGTAGTAGCTTCCAGTTATCTGAGTAATCAGTGGTGTAGTATACCTCTCCATTGGGACTATATTTTAATTGTCTTATATCTACAACTTACGGATCTTTGGCATTTTTTTTCCATACTTTTTAAAGAACGTAAAATCTACGTTTTTAATATTATACGGATGTTTTGGCCGAGCAAGACGCATTCTAGCAATGTAATCCATCGGTGAATTAATTGGAGTCTGAAAGTAATGTTCCAAAGTTAAATGAACTGAATCTGCTTCCATCATAGTATGGCCTTTTTTCCATCAAGATATAACTGCTGTATTGTAAGGGATTTTGCTCTTGCTGAATCACTTAAAGCACAAGCCAGAGTTCTTTTTCGATTTTGGTAGTTGCATCCATCTTAGATAAATACAAGAGTTTGATAGTTAGCAGGAATATTATTTATATAATCTATAAGACAAGATGTAAATTCATTGCTACTGACGTACAACTGGACATCTTCATCATTTAGAGAATAAATGGTGAAATTGTGTACTTGGAGTATGAGCTTATAATACGATTGGAAAGCTAATACTTTTGGACACGTTAAGAAACTTTGAATATCAACTGTGAGAACCAATTTTTTAGAATTTGCGCTACTTTTTAATAACTCTTGCCCGTCTTCCTTGTTTCTGCTTTGACATGTGCTGATCACAATCTTCAGTACTTATTGTCTTCATTTTATGTGCAACACACGTATCACATTGATCTTTCCTTTGCTTATTATGTATGCCAATTTTCTCTGCTTCTAAAACAACTTTAAACAACTTGATATGAGCAACTGACTGCTTTCTATCATCGCACCATTCTTTATATAGTCTGTACATGTTATTTGTCGTTATGATACTGTTGTCAACATATATTCTGCTAGTAGATGCTCTACAATAGTGTGAAGGAACTTTAGGAATATCTTGCAACCATTCCATAACATTATTTTCTTTGCAAATTTGTCTCATTTTTCTTGGAGTAATCTTGTTGAATGTTGGAATCTTGTAGACTTTCACTAGAAGTATCAATTTCATGAGTGGCTGGCTCCTTGAGACCCATTGTTTCATTTTGTCTTCTCCTAAATTTAATGTGTTCAAAAACATAACTCTCGGCATACCTTGAGGTAACTTCCGTCTTTAGAAACAAAAAAAGTCACGAGCACTCTTCTTTTTGGACCGTTTGTCTGAATTTGAGTATCTTTTCGGCGCCTTTGCACTGCTCTTGCCTGAACAAGATTTTTAACATAAGTGCTTCTATGTTCCCACGACGTAAATGTCCAAAATTTTTTTAAAATTCGTAGTCTATCGTCCTGCGTAATTAAAGAACATCAAAATGAGTGTTCTTTTAAACATTTTGGCGTTATAATATGGTTACATCGCTCCTTAACTGACATGCCATTCCGTCTGGTAATATGTTGTACATCGCCAAAACACAAATTTTGCCTTTTTCCTGTTCCAATATAGTAGCTGCAGGCAAACTGAAATAAGAAAAATAATTATTACCTACTTAATTTAAGCAATAATGAGATGAAAGATATCTAACCGTAGTAGTGAATTTGTTTACATACCTGTTGTTGGATTTTTCATTATAAATTTCATTTTCAATAGGAGCAAAAGTTTGGATAGAATTTTGCCGATCTTACTTAAGTGAATTTTGTACAACTATTTTAGTTCTTGTCTTGAAAATACTCATTTTGCATTGGTAAATAGCTTATTTGAGAAAATTTGAGGATAGGAATTTGACAGATGAAAGTATGAAATACCTCCAATGTGCAGATATTATAATAGATAATAGCTCCAATGTGTTTTTTAAGCACATTGGATTTATTTCAGTCCAACAATTAATAATATGTTACATTGGAGTAATGCATTTTTATACATTGGGGAAGTTAGGAATCGGTACGCACATTGGATATTTTTCTAGACTGTAAAACTATTCATAGCGATTCAGAATCATTTAAAATCTGAATTACTAGAAATTTGCACATTGGAGGTATTTCATTCCTAACGACGATATGATACTGTAACACATAGTACATAGAATAACCCAAAAAACTTGCCATATCTGAAATCTAAATAAATCTTATATTTTCTCTTCTTGTACTGAAGGGCTCCTAACTGCAAAATTTTGTTGATCTGAATAATATGGGGTAATAACAAAAAAATGTCACTTAGGGCATTGTTTAGGACAATTTTTAAAAAAAGCAGGAATTTCATTTTTCTAAAAAGCCTAATTATTGATAATTTGCAATAAAAGCTTTAAACAATTTTAAATATAACCTAGGAGCATGCCAATTAGCAAAGTATCGAATGGATATTTTGTTTAACCCATGTTTGAGTTTGAACCATCGAGCTCGATGGTTTGAACTCTGTGTGCCTTCCACTCTTGACAGTTGCGCTGGAATAGCTCTGAGTAATTAATTTTCTGGTCCAAAATGTTCTATTAGGACATCATTTGGACATTATTTAGATACTAAACTAACTGTGATTGTGTGGACAATGAAGACAAACTTTTAAATATCAAAGATTGTTCTAAATGTGGTAATAATCTGTCCAATTATGCAATAAAGTTTATTAGCCTTCAAAAATCCTTCTCATTACTTACATTCTCTAACCAATAATTTTAAATTCCACAAAATTTAATAATACAATTTATAATTTTTAATGTTACCTAACTATTTTATGTAAGACAACATAACATTTTTATTGATTTTTTTGTTTTTGTTTATTTATTTACAGATGTATCATTTTTACAAAAGAATAGTGCCAACCTGTATGAAGCACAAGTTGTGTTAAAAAAGTACAAACCAAAATTAGAATTAAACTAAACTAAGAACTTAGTTACTCCACATCTTAACTGATTTCTTAAATATGTTGTAGATATTTCAAAAAATTCTAAGCTACTGCTGTACTCATTAAAAGTTTTTAAAATTCATGTTATTGGTTCAGTTTGACCATTGATTGATAGTTTGTAGTAATTAACCTTAATAACTCTGGAATTTGAATATATCCATTCACAATCATATGAAGACAACAGAAATCTATGTCAAACCTTCTATCAAAGAATATAGACGCTTATTCTATGATGTAGTGACAAGTATTAAAAGTATATCATTATATGGTTATTGCTGCCTAATAAAAACAATTCTGTAAGTACACACCCTCAAAAATTTATTTTGAACTCTCTAGATTCTGCAGATATCAACATTATAATATGAAGGAGACCAAAGGACAGAACCATACCCCAAAACTGATTGAACTTAAAATTAAGTATAACATTTTTAAAGTTTGTACTGAAAACAAACTACGATTTCTAAAAATAAATAACAACATAATTAAAGCTTTAGTTGAAGTTTCATTAATATGATATTTAAAAGTTAATTTAGAATTAAAGTTTATATCCAAATCTTTAATATTATTAAGTTGCTTTAAAGGTATATTCATAGGTGCTGGCAGAGTACATTATGCTACAACAAGTATATATGTGTATAGTTCTATATTTTATATTGGTTAATAGTATATGTAGATGAAAATGAACCCCCCTGAAAATAATCTTAGTGGCATCCATGGGTACATTGTTTATATAATAATAATACTTTACAGACTCCCTTTACTTATATTTAAGTATAACATATTTACCTCACACTGACCAGCTAAACATTTAAGATCCAATGCATTTAAGATTATACCAAAAATTCAAAATGGTCATTAACAAGCATTAGAAACTTTTTTTAATGACTGATGATATATCATTAATAATATATTAAATAAAAGAGGCCCAATGTGAGACCCCTGAGAAAATCCTGAGGTCACAGATACTTGCTGATATAAACAATTTTCATATTTTACATACTGATATCTACATTATACTCTTTTTCAAAGTAAAACACTTGCATGCCAGGATTTACACAAAGTGACTTCACTTGTATTTAAAATTTCCAGAACATCAACCTTACATTTCAAATTTTCCGAACACAGCTAATAATACAAAATCTACACGGAACTGCTTCGATCTTTCGTAGGGGTCAACATGGTGTAATAATCAGAAAAATGTAATCATTATATTGGAAATTTTAGAATTATATTGATTAAATAACCAAAAACATTTGTTATTATTAATAATATAAATTTTATGAAATAACTCTAATATTCTAAAGTCTAATATTCTACAAAATAATAATTTTAATTAAATATATTAGACAATTGTACGCAGCTGATACGGAAATACATCAAATTTTATTGACAGTTAAGCATGTGGCAAAAGTGTATAAAGTGTTGCCGCTCTTTTAGAGTAGGAATTTTGTTTATGTTTTGATTTCTTACACAATTTGATCATAATATAATATATATTAATAAATTGTATTTATAAATACATATTAAATTTGGATTAATAGCTTTAAAAACTAATTATTGTTGTGTATTGTGATTGTGATATGCCAAAACAAATAAATAGTCTGTAGAAAGCTGATAAGCTTTCATATAAGATATATTATTTTGAACAAGAAATAATGGCGGGACGTTTTTACTATTAAAGCCCTAAAAGAGGTAAGTTTAAAATTTAATATATAATTTTGTATTAAAATGGAATACAAAATGGAATGGATGGAATATATAATTTTGTATTAAAATGTTTTCTTATGTATTTTAACGTGTTACAGTATCTAAAAACTAGTGTATTTACTGTTAATATAATAGTTTGACAAATATTTAACATTTTGAAAATGCCTCACTTACTAGCCTGAAGTTTTGGCAACACTGTGGGGTTCTGACGGCGTAAATCTTGAATGACAGTCAAGATTTTTTATATGAAAAATGCTATAACTATGTATCCACTCAAGTGTTTTACCTCCAAATCTATAGCCTTGGAATTTAGCAATAAGCAGACCATGTTTACAGACCAGACAATTCTCACTTGCTTGTTGAAGTTTACTTCTTATTTTTAGTAACGTTTTTCTAGTTAAGTGAATAAGGTCTGCTGACATTTTTCTTGACCCTTAGGAACCTATCTTAGGATATCTGCAGCATCACCTCATAAAGCAGCAGTCAAGGAAACATCCTTTTCTTGTTTTGTCCAACGATTGGCTGTCGCAATAGCTTCAAATTGTCCAAGGTATATGGACCAAGAAGACTTTCCATCAAATGGTGGCAATTTGAATCTCATTTGATATGTCATTTTGTCTCTAGGTGATTCTTCTTTCACTACAGGATCTGAAACTACTGCATTAACTGGTGGTAGCACTTTTTATTGGTTATCATGGTCTCTAACTGTTCTTCTCTTTTACCTTTTCGAAAGTTCTAGAAACTTCTTCAAATTTCTCATTGTTCTGATTACTTACATACTTCTTTAACTATTTGAGTGAGTCTCTTAAGTCTTTAAGTCTCATCGAATCTTCTAGAAACATTTTCGAATTTCTCATCATTTTGTTTACTGCTTCTTTAATAATTTGAGAAGTTTCATAAAATTTTTTGGAAACATTCTTATTATTGTTTCTAGAACTTTCTTTGATCATTTTAGAAACATTTTAGAATTCTCCATTATTTTTGTTAAAACTGTTTCTTCTGCTGATTGAAACTGGAATGTCTCTGGGTTATCTCCATTCTTGTTGAGAACATTCTTCAGTCGTTCTTGGAGGATCTTTTTGGACCCGCTGCAGTCTTCATCGCGTTCTTCTAGTTGCTCACGCAACTGTTTTACTGAAATTTCTACTAGCAGCATCTTTAATCAGGCACACACATACTTTTTTTAAATGTTCTTTCTTACAAAGATCACTACCGAACTACGCGGATGTTCCCGACGAGCAATACATTTCAAAAGTCACTGCTCAATTTATTTTTAAATAGATCAATTATCTCACATATTATATACACACACATATATATATATATATATATATATATATATATATATATATATATATATATATATAAACGACATAATTAATTATATATAATTAATTATTTAGCAGCAAAAATATATAGGGGAGACCGGGGAGAGTTCGGACCATTTTTTAAAAATTAATTTTTATTAGAAAAGTGTATTGATATATTTACCTTTTAAAGTAGTTAACTTAAGCTTCCAAGGTTCAGGCATAACCAATCAAGAGCAGAATATATCAAATCAATAAATTAACAACAAAAATAAAAAAATATTGCAGGGGGTCATTTGTCCGAAGTCTCCCAGAAACAATCTAATAAATATTTTTCAAGCATTTTTTCCATTATATCGGTAAACACTTGAGATTGCTTGAAATTTGGAGAGAATGTTACGTTGTCTATACCCACAGCTCTAGCTTTCTTTATGTAATCTAGAAGACTAGATTTAGGAACGCCGTAGGTTTTGGCGCTATTCCGAATGCTCAATTTGCCGTCAAGCACCTCTGATGTGGCATTTTTCATAGTGTCTGCAGAAAATTGTCGTTCTGTTACCCTTGTATATGTACGGGGCATTATGAGCTGTAAGAGAAAAATAGAATAACTACAGATCAGGGGAGACTTCGGACACACAGGGGAGAGTTCGGACACTGTGTCCGAACTCTCCCTAATGCAAACATTGGTAATACAATGGGTTTATAAAAAAACTTACCTAAATATTGCAACAACATAAGTCTATGTATTTTAAAATATATCTTCTGGATTGCACCGATATTTTTAGAACAAAACTCGACAAAACACTTCACAATAGATAACTCTGTGACTACGACCGAAATCACAGCTGTCAATACATAACCTATAATTATGTACAAATAAGGTTGTGTTTACCAAATGACAACAGTGCATCTTCAAAAATGTGCGAAATTCAAATGTGTCCGATGTCTCCCTGTGTCCGAACTCTCCCCGGTCTCCCCTATCATTTACCACTTACGTACTCCGCTACTGTTGAAATGAAAGAATAAGCACAATTGTACATTAAGCGATTGCTGGACATCGCGGTGTTGCCATCATCAAACACGATATCGGTCCAGTTTTAAATGCATTAATGTTATGTAAGGTCATTCTATGTCCACTTTTTTCTTGAAATTGATTTTTTTAACCAATGTATTTTTAAGTATGTTGTATTAACTAAGTTAATTTGCTTCGGTGGTTATAAGAGACATTTCTATTTTACACGTTGTTATAATGTGAAAAAGAAGTTTTAAAATGGTAAAATAACATATAATACAACTATGGCGAAAATTTAACGTTAGGTACAGTAATGAAGATCTAACTTATAGTTTTTTTGTTGTTGAATTGAAACGAAATATACTGGATGTGACCATCACATGATTCTTGCTTATACACTATTTAGTTTTTTATTATTTAAACTTGTTTTAATAATAAAAAATTATGAATATTTTATTTTCAAATTATGAATATTTTATTTTCCTAATGAAAAAAAAAAAATTAAATTAACTAAATCTACTTCATTGTGTACAGTATGTAGACCACTTTAATACCATGTCAATATATCTTCAACTTTTCATTTTTCCAGGTGAGATATAAAATTACTGAAATTTGAAATAAAGTAATAAAATGCCCATATATTGTTCTTCTGCCATATATTCGCCACCATTCTTATTTTAAAAATGAAAAAAACATTTTCCAAGACAATTCAATATGAAGTATTTTTTGAGCTAAAAAGCTGAGAACTAACAAAAATCCTTTATATATTTTTTTTTAATTTCACTGATAATCTCAAACTCTCATTTGTGAGAATCAAATGAGAAAACAAAATCAAGAGTATTAACGTTAAAACCATAATATGGCAACATCGATTTAAAACTTGCTACTTAATTCACTCCAGACTACAATGTTGCTGATACTCATAAGTATTATATACAAAGTTGCTTTAATTCTTTAGTGTTAATTCGTTAAGTACCTACCTATAGTTAATTAATTTATATATTTTTTTAAGAATATTTTCATATTATCTTTCTAAGAGTGTCATTGACTAACAATTGAATACTAAAGGGGAACATTTTCATAATATATAAACTAAGGATTTTTAGGAAATATCTGACAACCTTAATTATAAAGCTGGTCTCTTTGATAGCATTAGCAGGCATGTTTATGTTGGTAAATTGACTTTTGAAAGAGTATAATAGTGGCCACTGGTATTGTCGGCATCAGAATACTACCACTATAGTTCTGGTACAGAGCCATTTCAAAAACTGTAGCTCAAAATAGATCAGATAATAAAAACTTTAGGCCAGTCATAATTGAATTTATCCAATATATAAATAAGTTCTACAGTATAACAGAATAAATCAACTAATTATATATTTATTATTTTTGTTCTAGGCTAGAGAAAATCCAGAACCAGTGTTTGATCTTTCAGAGTGTGACATACACAATGTCCCCAGTGGTATTTATTCACTCTGCAGGGTGTTTTTAAAAGAATCGCTAAGATTAGAAAATAATAGCTTGTCTTCTCTAAATGGGGGAGGAAGTTTAAAAGATCTCTATGTATTGAAGATATTAAATTTGAATAATAATTTATTTAGCCATCTACCTGATGATATTGGCTTACTTACAAACTTAGAGGTATGTAAAATATAGAACGTAGAACTAAGAAAATATGTCAACCTTTTAAATCTTTGATAGCCTTTAACAATTTAAGCTACTTTTTGAAAAAACACAATATATCCCAAACTCTTAAATTTGGATTATTTTAGATATTATATACTTCATATTTTCATATATGGCAGACACAACCTACCTGTTAGCATTGGTATAATCACAAATTTACAAAAATGAAGTGCAAATATTGTATATAAAATTTATGACCCAAAATTAATTGATTGGAATTAGCAAGGTTACAAAAATAAAAGACATTAGTTACGGAGAAACTGCTAACACAAATTTGCTAGATATCCTATTGTACAAAATGATAAGAGATATAATAAGCGGTAGAGTTCTATTAAATTTTAATAACCTAGGAGAAAAAAATTGTTGATTGTTGAATTTGAATATTTACTATTTGTATTATATATTACAATAATGTAGGTATATTAACCAAACAATTTACGTTTTTTGTACAAAGTTCAAGAATAACTGAATAAACTGTTTATTCAGTTAAACAAATTTTATTGCAATGACACCAAAGTTATAATGTTAGTACGTAAAGAATATAAAAAGATAACTTAATATTGTATGTGAGACATGCTATGAATGAATGTCATTATGTAATGAGTGTAAAAGTAAGTTAACATAAAATCAAAATTAATACTGAGTATTTCCTTCTCTCAGTTGTATTACATTTTCCATGCGATCTCGTAAGGCTTTATTAAATATCTGACTGATTTCTGGGGAATCGCTTCCCACTCTTCATTTAAGCTCGATGGGATTCATATCCGGACTCAATGGAGGCCAGTCTATTGGTGTTGGCCAGGTAATCTTTCGTAATCCACGCTGTGTATAACGAACTTTACCATCCACTAGAATGAAGCCGTCGCATATGTAGCTGGCGTAAGGAACAACATGGGCTTGGAGAATATCCGTAATGTAACGATCTGCTATCAAACCCTCTCCACGGAAACCACCGGGCATAAACACAAGCTCTGATTTTCTCAAGACTCTGAGTGGCGGGTAAGTTATGGTCATTATGAACGCTGGTTTTCCGCACCGACAGTGTAGAGCGTTGACTGATCAAGGTAGCATGGAACTTACAAGAGATGAGGGTGCAGAGCTTTTGCTGCTTTGTGTCAATATTTTAACAAAGTTGAAACCAATCAGAAGAGAAACACAGCCAATTAATAGGTTAAGACATATTTACGGAAAGTAAAAACACCTCATCCGCGTTAGGTGCCTGAAACCAGAATGAAACGTTCATTCCGGTAAACGTCTTACCAGCGCATATGTTGTGATGAGAACTATTTGCACACCGACTCGGCGCCGACTGTCTGGCTCCGAAAACCAGCGTTCATCTTGGACGTACCCTTACTCTAAGGTATTCATGACTATCCATCTTAATGAGCGGTGATATAATATGATACGGTGACAACTGAAGTCTTGTACTTCAATACATAAAGCGAAAACATTACCTGAAGAAAGGTTATTTACTACAGACAGAACAATCGCATTGACTATTTTAGCATTCACACAGAACACATTTTTGAAGTCACCAGTTACCAGAAGCTCATCTTACTTAAAACCATTAACATATAATTCTATATATTTATCACGGCAAATAAGTGAAATTGCAAACAATGTTTATATTTTTTACCTCCTTATCTTCACCTAGCGGACAAGAAGCACACTAAACTTAAAAATCGGGTTTACTTCTGTGATTTCCATAACCTGAAAAGCATCCTTTGTGGTAATTATTAAGCCAACCTTATTTTTTAAATTTACTAATCTGCTAAATTCCCCTACAGAAGCATAAGAATGATCTGATTGTGGTTTAAATAAACATTGAATGCAATCTAAACACTTCAGTTTGGGAACAATTTTCCTTATAATAATTCCACACATGTAAAAAAGGATACACTCTAATTTATTTGCTCATCTCTTACCAACATAACGTTCAACTATTCGAAAAGCAGATTTGTGTCAGTTTGTATTTCATTATCTTCAAAGAATATTCTTATCCTTGTTCGCCACTCAATTTGGAGTGGAGAACATACATATACATTTCCCTCATTTTCATTGTGATTTAAATTATTCTATATAATACAATTGGCAACAAGAGAGGTAGTAATATCATTATGAAATCGTAGGCTTCCACGGCCAGAGTCAGAATTATAGTTTATTCGTCTTCCGGGTTTGGACCGTGTCATTTGTGAGTGACCCAAAAGTGGGTTCATTTCGACGTTTCGCTACAATTGTATGTAGCTTCTTCAGGAGAACAAAGAAAAAGAAATCAAAAGACAGGAAGATGGGTAGTTAGCAACGGTAACTCAGTTACTCAACGCAACCAGAGGCGAATACTAACTACCAAGATGGGCATTTGGTCACAGTAACTTAACTACTTAACGCAGCCAGAGGTGAAAACCAAATGCCAGGACAGGGATTCACGTCCAACAGCTCAGAACACTAACGCGTCGAGAGGCGGGGAGTGAATCCGACATTTACTCCGCTACCGCTCTATTTATAGTCGCGGTGACTTGTCGTGTTGAGACGTATCGGCACACTCCGTGGCGCGAACGTCGAGAAGCGCGCGCTGGCCAATCATGTGGCTGCATCGTGGTAGCGGGACCGGACGGCGGCTCTAGACTGAGATTCCAGATGGGAGACAAGTAGTATCCTTCCTCTCGATTGATATTATGTGGATTTTTTCGGATCTCTAGAGATTCGCGGATTTTTCCTGGAATAAAAGAAGGGGCTCTTAGAAATAATATGGGTTTTTTTCGAACAATATGGAATGACCGGTTTCTTGGCAGTGTTCTGCAACTGCAGAGTGGGAGAAAAGACCTGATCGAATGCAGCTTTGATGCTCCTGAATCCGAGTTTTGACGGAACGACCAGTTTCGCCAATATACACATGTCCACATGAACAAGGAATAGAATAGACACCACAGGAAGATAGGGGCGGTAATGGGTCCTTAGGAGATTGTAGATATTGTGAGATTTTCTTGGGTGGTCGAAAAGTAGTCCTGATACCTTCTTTGCGAAGAATTTTGCCAATCCTATCGGTGACACTTCGAATATACGGAAGAAAAGCCACAGGAGTATTACCCGAAGATTCTGAATTTGTCGTCCTAGGATGTAAAGGGGGATGTAGATGTCGGTGTGTAATATTTTGAATTGTGGACTTGGAGTAACGTTGGCGACAAGGGTTTTTTGCAGATGGCCAAGTTCTTCACTTCACTAAGGTTCTCAGGTTCAGAAATCGAAATGGCCCGATGGATGAGAGAGTTGATCACAGAATTCTTTTGGGCAGGATGGTGGTGTGATGAAGCATGTAGGTAACGATTCGTGTGAGTCTTTTTTCTATAAACAAAGGACAAACAGTTTAATTAATTTTTTTTTTAATTCGAAGAAGCTACAGAGTGGGTGACAGAAGGAGAGCGGTAGCCTCTCTCTAAATTTTATTATTTAAATAAAAGATAAATATCAACAATAATTAGTTAGATTCATTTTTTAATATTGATTTTTTAGGAACTTTATGTATCCAACAACCATTTAAAAAAACTATGTGGAGGAGTTTGTACTTTAAAAAAACTGAGAGTGCTTGATCTTTCCAAAAATCAATTGAAAGTTTTACCTGAGGACTTGGGAAATCTAGGGTCATTACGAAAATTCAATGGAACTAGTAATAAGTTAAAACATTTACCAAAGAGTATTTATAAATGGAGAAAAATTCAAATGCTAGATATTGATGCAGATGAATATGTGTATCCACCTAGATCTATCGCTGCCCAAGGATTGACATCCATCATGCAGTTTATATCTAAAGGTAAGTATGTTTACTAATTTTGATTTGTGAGTATTGTTTTACGTGTTTTTTAACAAATGTATATTTATCACATCAAAATAAGAATAAAGACGCTATAGTGTAAAAACTAAAAAGTACTGTCATTTGGCAGTAAATTGTTAAAAAATAGTTGTTCTCATTTGAAAATTCATTTTTAACTTTCCATAATACACTGCCATCATTGTTTTTGACAGAAGTCAACTTTAGCATGAGTCTACTCCTATTTTTTATGATCTGAATTAATTTCATCTAGATTTTTGTAAAGAACGTCGTAAGTTGAAATAATTTGTAGATAGGTTAAAAAATTCAAAAAGTTCTAATAATTTTCTAAAATACTGACATACAACAACGCATTTTAATTACAACCTCAACTTTTTTAAAAGACGGATACAACTTAAAATAAAGCATTATTTTTCACAGAAAGTATTATATTATCTTATTGTATTTTTGAAAAGAGGTGGCATATCTCAAAGTATGACAATATTGTGCAAAATGTCTATTAACAATAACGACACTTCTAGCATGTGATGGCCATGGGATAAACTAACTGTATGACGTTATCACACAAAAAAATAACAGGTAACACTGTTGCGATTTGAGATGTTACGATCTACTTCCCATTTAACAACAAAATAGTCAGAAATCAAATAGATTATATTATCGTCAACAGAAGATATAGAAATTCTATAATATCATCTAAAACTTATCCAGGAGCGGACATATCCTCCGACCACAACCCGGTTGTTTTGTCGATGAGAGTCTAACTAAAGAAGGTCAACAGCCCTAGCACCAAGAAAATCATAGATACAAGACGTCTCAAACAAGACAACACATATGTGGAAACCAAATTTAAAATAAACGAGAGCTTAAGGAAAGTCAAAGAAGATAATGCAGAAACTCTAACTATTGACCAAAAATGGGGAAAAATTCAACATGCCCTTGTGTCAGTTGGAAAAGAAACCCTCAAACCACTTAAAGAAAAAACAAAACCTTGGATGACAGTAGAAATTCTTAAACTCATGGAAGAACGAAGAAAACATAAAGCAAAAGACCTGAATAAATACAAAGAAATTCAGAACACACCAGCAACATGTGCCTTATGTAATGACAATCATCCAGCAAACTATAAAGGATGTTCTATATATAAAGACCTAGTAAATTCGAAAAACAAAAATATAACAAGCAGCATTCCTATATCTAGAGTTGCAAGCCTAGTCAATCACATGTAACATATGCTCAAGTTGCAGCAACTAATACTTCTTCACAAGACAACAACAATAATTCAGACATATCAAATAAACTTACAGAATTCCTCAACGAATTTAAAAATATGTTTGCACAATTGATAAACCAAAACAGCATGATACTAAGCATGCTTACAACAGTGATAAATAGAACGTCGTAATGGCTAACTCACTCAGAATAGCAGAGTGGAACGCAAATGGTCTAGCAAACCATGTGCAAGAAATTATACTATTTCTAAAATTAAACAAAATAGACATCCTACTTATATCTGAGAGTCACACAACTGAGAGGTCTTTTATAAAAATTCCACACTATTCTGTCTATTACGCAAACCACCCAGACGGAACAGCCCATGCTGGTTCAGTTATAATAATTCGTACAGCTATTAAACACTACGAACTGGCTCCATATATCACCAACAAAATTCAGAGTACTATCATAAAAGTACATGCGCTCACCTTCCCATTAACAATAGCTTCTATCTACAGCCCACCACGCCATACTATCAATCTGGAGGAATACAGAGAGTTTTTTGAACAACTTGGCTCACATTTTCTAGTGGCAGGGGACTGGAATGCAAAACATACAACCTGGGGAGCAAGACTGATATCTCCAAAAGGCAGAAATCTATTAAAGATCATACAAGATAATAACCTGAAGTACCTAACAACTGGTACCCCTACATACTGGCCCACTGATAACAACAAAATTCCTGATCTGTTAGACTTTGCTATAACTAAGGGAATACCTGAAATACACAGCGACATCACCCCCAGTTTTGATCTACATTCAGACCACAGTCCCATCTTGATTACCTTAAGTACCAATATAATTTGGGAAACTCTTGCGCCAAGGCTATGTTCCAGTAACACGAATTGGGTTCAATTCAAAGAAGAAATCAATGAAAAAATATCTCTTGACATTTGACTCAAACACAAAAACGATATTGAAGAAGCTGTAAAATATCTAACGGAACAAATACAACAGGCCGCTTGGAAAGCTACTCCTGTAAAGGAAAAAACCATTGATGAAAGGTATAGTATACTCCTCCACATTAGAACACCAGTAGAAGAGAGAAGAAGAGCCCGTCGCAAATGGCAAAGAACAAGAAACGCGATAGATAAAACAAATCTAAACAGGCTCATACACAGACTTCATTCCGCTATCCAAACAGCCAAAAACGAATCTTTTGAAAGATATGTCGCAAACCTTTCTCTTGACGACAACTCTCTTTGGAAAGCCACAAAGAAACTCAAAAAGCCGGTAGTAATGAAATCACCAATTAGGAAAAATGATGGAACCTGGGCTCGATCAGATATAGAAAAATCCAACAGATTTGCAGAACATCTATCAACTGTCTTCTCCACCCCACAGACCAACGATATTAATGACGAGAAAATTAGAGATTTCCTTAATGCACCATGTCAACTATCATTACCACTAAAATACTTCTCACCAAACGAAGTCCGTAACCAAATTAACATGCTTAACCCTCATAAAGCTCCAGGATTTGACCTTATAACTGGCGAAATCTTAAAAAAACTCCCAAGAAAAGGTGTTGTCTTAATAACCATTATTTTTAATAGCCTCCTGAGACTATGCTATTTTCCAGTGCAATGGAAGTATGCACAAATTATAACAATACCTAAACCTGGTAAACCTCTAACTGAAGCCAGTTCGTACAGACCAATAAGTCTCCTTCCAACTTTATCAAAAGTCTTCGAAAGGTTAATCCTTAACAGAATAGAAACAATAATACCTATAGAAAACCTTATCCCAGATCATCAGTTTGGTTTTCGCTCAAATCACTCAACCATACAACAGTGCCATAGATTAGTCAACAAAATAAAAGAGAGCCTAGAAGGGAAACAAATCTGTCTATCAGCATTCCTCGATATACAGCAAGCATTTGATAGAGTGTGGCACGAGGGTCTTCTGTTTAAAATAAAAACTCACCTAACTGACCAAATCTACCTCCTCCTTAAATCATACTTGTCCGACAGATACTTCCAAGTTAAATACGAAGGTGCTCTATCCAACTACCACCAAATAAAATCTGGAGTACCTCAAGGCAGTGTACTTGGCCCATTCCTTTACCAAATCTTCACTGCTGATATTCCTATTAGCGAAAATACACTAATGGCAACATTTGCGGATGACACTGGTATACTAGCATCAGATATCAATGAAATATTAGCATTTAACAAATTGCAAAATCATCTCAATGAACTAGAAGACTGGCTTAAATGCTGGAAAATAAATGTCAACACAAACAAGTCTTGTCAAGTAAATTTCACAAATCGAAGAATTAGATGTCCACAACTACACCTAAATAATTCAGCTATACCAATAAAAACAGAAGTAAGGTACCTGGGCCTTCATCTAGACGAAAAACTTACTTGGAAATCACATATTGCAGCCAAACGACGACACCTCGACCTAAAAGTTAAAAATATGAGCTGGCTAATCAACAGAAGATCGCAACTTTCATTAGAAAACAAACTAACCATCTATAAAACAATACTCAAACCAGTGTGGACATACGGAATTGAGCTGTGGGGCTGTAGCAAACCATCCAACACCAAAATACTGCAGACATTCCAGTCAAAAACTATTCGTATGTTAGCTAAAGCCCCATGGTATGTGTCAAACCAAACCCTGCATGCAGACCTCAACATCCCCTTCATCAATGATGTGATTGCTGACCACTCCAGAAGATACATGAATCGCAGCGCAGACCATCCAAACCATCTCATAGACGAATTATTCAACCCCCCACTGGTTGACAGACGTCTAAAAAGACTTTGGCCAGAAGACCTAGCTGCTAGGTAAATTCCAGAGAGTCGTCAATGGACGACACCTGCCACAAGCCAAGAACATACATCATATTTACTTATTACTGTATTGAAGTAGATTGTAAATTAGCAATAAATAAATAAATAAAAAAAATATATCTATGAAAGAGAACAAGTTCGAATATGATTTATTTCAAGAATATTCGGGAACGATGAAAATATATAAATACTCGGTGGCTTGGAGGACAGTTAGTTCAGAACAGGGGACAGTATGAGATTTGGACAGTTAGACAGTTGGAGTTGGACAGTGTGAGAGTAAGTTAGAACAGTTGGACAGTTACAGTTAGGAGGACAGTATGAGAGTAAATTAATAAGACAGTTAGTTAGTGAATTCATTAAGAAGTTAGTCAGTAAATAGTACAAGCAGTTAATAGTAGATAGTATACAGTGATCAGTATTAGAGTATTAATTATACAGTACAGTATGTATATGGTGATTGGTGATTGGTATATTAAAAACAAGAATAAACAGAAATGCTAATAATAAGAAAAATATTTTAAATTGATGGAAGCTGATAATTAAAACATTGTGGTGAATTTGGAAAAAGTAATTTCACAAAACAAGGATAATCGAGGCTGAAAACGAAGATATTGAGTGGTGATTAAACCCTTTATTTTCGAAAACAGTTTCATTTAGGCATTCAGTGACAGAAAGGTACCAAATTTTGTTAATATAATTTAATTATTGTAAGATAGGTTTTTCTATATTTATATTGTCTATATTAGATAGATATGTGTGTATCATATTAATTATAATAAATATAATTTTATAAAAAAGTACTGACAAACTACTGCTTTGAGAACCGCGATAAAACACTATACTTAAAACACTCATTGCTCATAAACAAACAACACAATATAGCAATATATATATATATATATATATATATATATATAATATATATTATATATATATATATATATATATTGGATTTGAAATTTCCGCGCAAGCTACATGTGGTTTCAGTTGTTTTCCGGGTTTGACTCCGCGTTAAATAGTGAAGGTTTTTATAAAAACTATTTTTTGGCGACGTTTCGGTAAGGTCACACTTGCCATTGTCAAGCCAGATTAGTTCTGCTTCTTCTTGATGTTCCAGGAGAACAGTTCTCCATTATAAATGGTATATAGATATAATAACAATGCCACTACCTGGGGTACTCCAGCCTTCATAGTTCCGACTTCGGACAGCGTTGATCCTATTCGAACTCTGAACCTTCTGTTGACTAGGTACGACGAGAGTAGACATGTCATTGCCTCACTATATATACATTATACTGGTATATAATATACCAGTATTGATTCATTTTGTATAGCAATCCTTCATGCCAGACTATGTCAAGGGCTTTACTTACATCTAGGAAGGCGGTTGCTATATACTTCTATTCGTTGAATCCTTTTGTGATTGACTCTGACCTAAAGCAGTACCTGAAGTTCATACGAATGTTCGAACATAAATCCAAACTGTGCTTCAGGTATTAGTCTGATTGCTTCGGTTGCTTGTTTTAGTCTTGCTAGTATGATCTTTTCTGCGATCTTGCTTATAGTTGGTGGCAAGCTGATTGGTATATAGTTTTGTGGACAAAGGCCCTGACTTGCCATCATTATAATGTGAACTTCCTTCCATCTGTCAGGAAAATATCATATTAATTTGTTTCGCCGGCAGATCTTCAGCCGTGAGAACTGTTTGTTAAACTGAGATAAAATGCTTTCAACTATTTTGGTGATATAGTAACATAACATGCCTAAGTACGTAGGTAGCGACCTCTATATAAAGCAGAATGAGACTTCTCTTTGATAACTAATTAACCAATTAACTGAATCCCAGCCCATAAATGTATATTAAATTTTTGGAAATTTGTCCTAGGTGTAGCATACGGGTTTTCGTCATTCCACACGTGGCAATTGTGAAAGTTAAACACACTATTTCTCGCAAAATAAGCTTCATGTGCACACAACATTTTACACGGAAATTCAGTTTCTCTGGGGATTTTGTTTTGAAACCATATACAAAACCTTAATTTTCGAGGTAAATCGCCTTGGTGTACCTAAATCTTGTACTTGTTGGTAATGGTAACGATATAATAGTTGTTCCGTAGATGTCTTATGAACAATGTTTTTAGAAATGCCAACTATTCTACCCACATATCGGTTACTTACTCTTGATTATTATTGACTATATCCAAAATCGCATCTTCTGCATTTAGTCTATGGTTACTTCATATTCTAATTAACGTAGTAAAAGAAGGAGTGCAACATTGCCAGCTGTATTTTCTTTTCTCTAGACAATAATCTAATGGATTAAAATTAATATATTTTTTTAAACGGTTAACTTGCCAAAAAAATATTATAAGATTTTTTTGTTTTAAATGGTGCACTAAGCCCATACCTTTATGGAACGCTTTATTTTCTGGGACAACCCGGTATATTGCATATATCTGATATTTATTATAACAATATTATTATATTTTATTTAAATAGCTTAAAATATCAATTATTTATTAGATGTTGGTGTTTCGTTTTCACCTGAAGAAGATGAAGTTGATGCAGAGGAGGACAAACATTCCCCTGTTGAAGATCCTAGCGATTCGGTCCAAGTAATTATTTTTTTTGTATTCATAAGCGTCGCAGATTACTTCAAAATATATAACTAATAAGATGAGTCTTATTATTATAACTTCAAATGGCATATTTTTATTATAGTAAAAAATTTACTTAGTATTCCGGCAACAGGGTACCTTTCTGTATGCATGGAAGAGTGAATAGTTGAAAACTATTACAATTTTTCGCTAAATACGAACATGTAGCCCCTTAAAGTGGTCCCATTTTTTATAAACAATAATGTTATAAATCCATTTTTAAATTTGAATGTCTTAATTTACAACTACATAGTTCCAAAAATGATATATGTTATAGTTATATAAAAATTTTATAGTTAAAAAGGTATTAAAAATGTTAGATCTAGAAATAGAAGATTTAGCCCTACTTTTAATCCTTATAACTTTTTCCATGATGCATATTTCTCTAAAAGCTGCAGATAAATAGATTTGAAGTTTAAAACTATTTTGATAATTTACTATTAAAAAATGAAAGAAACTTTAGTTTTCATTGAGTTAACAAGCAATAAACAAATAGCTTTTTAAATTGAAAAAGACTGTAAGACTTGTACACACTTCTAAATAGGTCTAACTGGTAAGCTGGTTTTGTATGTTTTCAATAAAATTGATAGTGTGTAAATTAATTTATTAATTAAGCTAAGTATACTTTCGACATAATAAATGTCATCATCAGAGCTATCCTAAAATAACGTTAAGTTAAGTAAATTTTTTATATAAAATACAATGATAGAAAAAACTTACGTCAATTAGGCAATAAATACTTCATAGAAGGAAAATTGTGGACAAACGACATATTAAAAATCAAAGATCGGGCTCTGTAGGCCACAGATCTTGGGTCTAACCAAGATTGGGTTGATATATATATACTAGATGTAAGTTAAAATATTCTAATTGGAAAATTTATTTATAAAAAATTGTTTAAAAAAATTTGTACCACTTTTTGAGATGGAGGACCTACATATTCGTATTCAGCGAAAAAATTTACATAAGATAAAATAGTTTTTAACTATCCACCCTTCCATGCAACAGAAAGGTACCCTGCTGCCCTACCCTATAGTGTTTGTTATGTTGGATGCTTTCATTTGTTTTATTTTGGTGATGGTCTATTATTCTATCATTTCAACTGTAATTTACCATTTAATATATATATAACATGATAAACCAGACATATTAAATATAATTAGCTATATGAAATTTTATTTTATTGTAATACTAATTACAACTATATTTTTAATAATATATTATAGCAATATTAATAAAATTGTCATTGTTATTTAAATTGCAGCTCGATAAATATCTTTGGAACTTAGTTAAAAACAGAAGTTTACTATGGATGTAAACGTGACAAAAATTAATTAGATGACTGTTACACTACCATGTAGAGCAGGATACGTTTGGTTGTATTTTTCAGAATTATATAAGGCATTTACAATATTCTTCAATGTCATTTTAAATTTGAAGCTTCAATAAGAATTAGTTTAGTGGTATATATCTTCTTCTGAACCTCGTTTGTTTTATCATTTTTGGTGATGACTCAGAATGGTTGTGGGTCTACAAAACTTTCTCTGGAAAATCTGCTTATCGTTTATTCTTAAGCACCCTTTCTGACCCGACACCTATGTTAAAGACATTGTATTATCTTTTGCCAGGTTGTTGGGGAGATTTTGAGCAGTTCCTCACCAGTTTTGATTTGGTCTGTATAAATGTTGATTCTCTTTGTTTTGCAGGCTACTAAGGCAAAAATTTCAGCTTGGACCACAGTTGTATATTGACCTAGGCTGCAAGATTTATTATAATTTCATAGCCAAACACTTCTGATCCAGTACCATGAACAAGATTCGTCGGTGAACCATTTAAAGTCCCCATTAATATTCGTGACTTTTTGTTCTCTAAATGGTATAATTGTGTTAATCTTCTCAGTGAAGATTAGTTCTGGTGTTATCATAACTAAGTTCATCATAAAGATGGATGCCTCAAGTATAGTCCCAATAGTATTTGGTGGCCATTCAATGCATAATTCGGCCTTCAAGTATTGTTTGTTTTAAATCTTGGGATGGTTATTAAGGCTATCGCCAGAATATGTAGCCTTTAGCCCTTTAGTGTACTATTCAAGGCTTTTGTTATATTTTAAAGTGCTTGTTTTTGTAGAGTTTTGAGAGAGGTCGCACAATATTGCAAAGCCTGCTTTTTCTGCCAAAGTACTGAACCATAAGTATCACTGATGTGTACAACCAACAGATTACCGTTGGTTTCAACCCCTCAGGTTTTAGCTACAAACCTGCAGTCTGCAGTTCTAAAAAAGTTGCGTAGCCCTGTTGGTTATAGTGTGAATATGAGTGCTCCAATTTAGTTTGGAATCCAAGGTTACCCCTAGGTACTTGCCCTCATTGGTTCATTAGTTCCTTCCCAAAGAATTTCAGTCCAGTCCAGTAAGCTTCCTCTTAATGGTGAAGGCTACTAATTTAGCTTTGGAAGAGAGGTTCTCTTTAAGGCATCAATTCTCTATACAATGAAGGGTGTATCTTAACTGATCTGCAATAGTACTGGGCAATTTTTTCCCAAGTCACTATTTCAATGTCTTCTGCGAGACCCTGTTGAGATATTGATGGTAGTACCTTCCCTTGTAGGCATCCCTTTGTTGCCCTTAGCTCTATGGCACTTTCATACGTATCTGTGGATATTATATATTACATATTATATATCGATGTTTTCATGGATATTAATGTTTATATGAAATAGCGTTTAATTTTTAATTTATATATTAAATAGTATATTATTTTTTAGCTTCTTGTAAATGCACACATATAAATTGAAAGCATTTTAATGAAAGTTCTCTTATTGGTTATATCTACTTTTGAAGTTTATACTAAATATGGTGTACATTCATTATAAAATATAGATGTTGTTTGTAGAACTAACATTTACTCAGAAGCGACTTTAATATCCAACAGAATTAAAACATTTTTCATTTCTTTACAAACAAATATATTGCTTAATATATATTTTTACTGATCAGCTTTGATGTAAAAATATGGCAATTTAAACCAAATCACTTAGACAGGATGCCTCTTTATGAGATACAAGGTGTTTTATTTAAATATTTACAGGAGAATTTTATTCATTATTTTGGTTACATTTTCTTGTTTTATTTTGCAGCAAGTTTAAAATACATGCAATGATAGCAAGACTTTCTCGCTGTCACCAGAGGCGTACAGCGTGGCACTGGAGGATTTATCTATTTCTATACTCTAGGCCAGTGACAAAATAGTCATTTTAGTAAACTTTGTAATTCTTGATACTTTGATACTTATTAATATAATACTCTTGTTTGGAAACAATAAAGTTACGATTTTTTTGAGGTATTTACGGTTAAACATAAAACTTCACAAATATTTCATTTTTTGTCGTATGATAACGCTTCTGTGTTTGGTGAATAAAACTTTATAATTACTTTCTTCTTCTTCTTCTTCTTAGCCTTCTGAACATATTTCCGCAATAGCCGGAACATATTTCCAATTTGTTCCGGCTATTTTTCTAATGTCATCAACCCATCTCATCTGTGATCTTCCTCTTGGTCGTTTACTTTATTAAGATTTATTAAATTATTATTAAAAAACTTATATTTCAATTCAAACTATCCTTTAGTTCAAATTACGCCCCCTATATGAAGAGAAAAATAGGAACAGAAATGTGTGCCCGTAAAAATAATTGGTTTGACGATGAATGCAAGAATGCAACAAAAGAAAAAAACGAAACCGCTTCAATAAGGAACATAAATATATAGAAAACCTCAATAGAGAGAAAGAATTCAGAGCATTTTATGACAGTTAAGATTAACAGAAAACAATTCAAGGCAACCACAAGAAAATGCAGAGTCAGAATCGTGGCCTATTAACAACAAGGAAAGATGTATTGAATAAATGGGTGGAATACTTTAACCAGGCACTTAATATAGAATAATATAGAAGATGAATAGGAAAACCTGGACGACGAACGAGATGAGGTAAGGGGAACAGACGAGAGGGGAGACAAACCACCAACGATTCTTGAAGGTAAAGATGCATTTAAAAAAACTAGCCAGAAACAAATCACCCAGAATAGATAATCCGAACCAGCTGAACTATATAAAGAAGGTTGCAATTCAATGATTGGAATATTGGAATACTTTGCAACATACACAAAAAGGAGATATCTTTGAATGCTCTAACCAAAGAGCTTCTAAATGCAGCGTATACAATATTTTCCACAGTACTATGTCACCTTATGGCACCACATGCAGAACGGATAGTAGCAAATACCAGGCTGGTTTCAGAGGAGGTAAATCAACAATTCATCACACTGCAACCCTGAAACAAATTTTAGAAAAAAACACTGGAATATGGCATTGATACTCATCACATATTTATAGACTACAAAGCAGCTTACGACTCTGTGAATAGAAGAGAAATGTTCAAAGCAATGAAAGCTAGGAATACCAAATCAGTTGGTAAATCTCCTCCCTAAAAAGTTAAATGTAAAATATGAATTCAGGGAGAACTGTTTAAACCTCGTAAAACAAATAACGGGCTGCGCCAGGGAGATTCTCTCTTCTGTATACTGTTCAATCTGGCTCTGGAAAAAGTAATAAGTGTGTCACAAATCACAACCAATGGTTCAATATATAAGAAATCAGTGCAAATCCTGGCCGGTGCTGATATTAATATTGTTGGGAGAACGGAAAACGCTGTACAATAGGCATACGTAGCATTAAAAGAATCAGCTTCAAAAATGGGTTTAATAATAAATACAAATAAAACGAAGTATATGAAAATAAGCACGCAACCATAAATTCTAACCACCACTTGTTATAGAAAACAACTTCATCGAAGCAGTGAACGAATTCGTATACCTGGGAACGCTCCGTGACACTGAAAATAATACTACCGCAGATATAAACCACAGAATTTATCTGGACAGATCTGGACTCTGGAAAAATAATGAAAACATTGCAACACTTAAATTAGTTACTCATATTAGTATTCTATTGAAGCACAGCTCTAGAGATGGTTTTAAAAGCTGAAAGCGCTTAGCAAGGAATTAAAAAATTTTTCTCGTTTAAAAAAGTTTATACTATATAATTTAATAAACTGTAAAACATAATCATAAAGTTTCATTGGCCTGATGCATGTTATCCTATGATAAAACATTTAAATGATAAATACATGTTGAATAAAAATAAGCATGCAGTATTCTGTTTAAATATCTGCAAAAATAATGACTTATAAGGAACAAGAGTAATTATTTGTGTATAAAGTATTGACGAATTGAAAAATTGTACGAAAATATCAATTTTGCTAGTTGCGTAGAAATATATATGTAGATAATTTGTCCTCTGCTTCCGCTGTTCTTCTGGTAATAGCGAGAAAGTATTTATTCTATAATTTATTCTTCTTTGCATTTCTTTGTATTTATTAAAGTGTCGGATTGATCTATCTTAGCTCCTAATCAATTTCTCCATGCTTTACGATCCTACGCAAATTGTTTTACTTCTTTTTACTTTCATGTTTTAAACTAATTTTAAACTTGCTATAGAATATCACAAAATAGTCATCATCATCATCATCCAGCCTCTATTTATCACGTCCACTGCTGGACATAGGCCTCCCTTAAACTCCTCCATTCCTCACGATTTTGTGCTCTTTGTTGCCAATTTTTAGTGATACGCCTGATGTCGTCGGCCCAACGTGTAGGTGGTCTTCCTCTACTGCGTTTGTCTGCTCTTGGCCTCCAATTTGTAATTTGCTCGTCCATCGTGAATCGTGCATTCTCGCTACATGGCCTGCCCAGTTCCATTTTAGTTCCGCTATGCGTTCCACAACATCAGTAATACTCGTCCTTCTTCGCAGATCTTCGTTTCTTATTCGGTCCCTCAACGTCACTCCCAGCATAGACCGTTCCATTCGTCTCTGTGCCACTCTCAGTTTCGAAGCCTATCACAAAATAGTATAAGAGAATAATAAAATAATGATCAAAATTTGTTTTTAAACATTTAAATAAAGCTCTGTATGTCGCAAGAGAACCTCATTTAAAGAAAATCACAGAAAAAGTAATTTTGGGTTAAATCGTCATATTTTGACGTCAAAATTGCCCGGTTAGAATATTTACACATATTGAAACAATTTGTATAATTTGTTCTGACTAATAATAAAGAATATTCTTTATTTACATTTATATATAAATCAACTTTTGAATAAGAGCTTTAAATAAATTTAATTAAAAATAATGTAAAACTTACAAATAATTTATATATTAAGAGTCGCTTCCGATTTCTCAATTAAATCATTTAGTAATTGTCTAATTTACATTTGTTTCTTTTTAGGAAAAAATATGGGAGCTAGCAAACATTAAGGCATGTTTAATTTTTCCATTGCTGATTAATTTTCGCTTGTTTTCTTTAAGTTGCAACATATTCTGTTTCGTGCTTCATTTTCTCTAGGTACATTTCATTGGTTTTAATGGTTCCAAAGTTTCTATAAAATATTTAAATATTCTTAATTAAAACTCATAGGTGAAAATAAGCTTTTTTCTATGGCGCTCAGAGCAGTGTACAGTGTCGGCACAATTTATAGAGAACTCAATAACGCATTGGTTTAGAACGAATAGAAACTGAGAGGGATGCAGGTGAAGTGAAAGATCAAAAAAATATAATCCTTGGTGCTACTGTCAATTATGCACAGCTGTGGCCATTAAAATCCTTCCTTACAGATCTATGTAGTAGCTGAATTTTTACCTCGTTTAATAAATCAATAACAATAGCAAAATAAAATAAATCTATTTTATAAAATGTAACGAATTTGAAATTATAGAAAAAAGTTTTTTTGAATAAATTGGATTATGTTCTTAATAACGAAAATAAGGAACACTGGATTAAAAATATCGATTTCATTTTAAATATGTTTTATATTAAATAATTATTAAACAAGAACGCAATTAATATTTGGTGGATGCCCCATTATTGTCAATAGTTTACCATAGTTAATGTCTATTCCATGGCCTAAGGTTTGTTTTACTTAATTTCTTTGTCAACTCTGCCCACACATTTTCAATGGCGTTAAGATCTGGACTCCAGGAAAGCTACCAAAGAAGATTAAGATGTTTTCTTCCAATCATTCTCAAGCAGTTCTACTCGTATGCACCGGGCAATTATTATGTTGGAAGGTAAAGTTGTTATTGGGGAATTTCTGGATCACTGGTGGCAACATTATGTTTTCAAGAATATGTTTGTAATATAATCCTTCTAATTTTTCTTTTATATGAGAACAAACGCCTGGGTCTGTAGCATATCTTCTTCTTTTTGTGCCACTCCTATCGGAGATTGGAAATCATCAAGGCTATTCTGACCTTGTTTACGGCTGACCTAAAGAGTTCATTAGTGGTGCAGCCAAACCACTCTCTCAAATTCCGCAACCATGACATTCTTCTACGGCCTGGATTCCGTTTTCCTTCTATTTTTCCCTGCATTATATTTTGAAGTAATGCGTATTTATGTCCTCTCATCAGGTGACCAAAATATTCGAGTTTTCTTCGCTTTAGCGTTAACAAAATCTCTGGGTCTTTTCCTATTCTTCGTATTACTTCACAGTTTGTTATTCTTTCAACCCAACTAATCTTCAGCATTCGACGGTAGCACCACATCTCGAAACTTTCAATATTTTTCATGTTGTTCTGTTTGAGAGTCCAGGCCTCTACACCGTATAATAGCGTGTTAAATACATAGCCTCTCAGCATTCTTAATCGTAGAGGGATGCTTATATTTCTGTTGCAGAAGAATTTTCTCATATTTATGAAGGTGGCCCTGGCAATTTCGATACGTCTTTTTATTTCACTGTTTTGGTCTCCAGTGTCGTTTATTAAAGTTCCCAAGTATTTGTAACTTGATACTTTTTCAACTTGAGTGCCGTTTATACTAATATACGCTGGTTGTGTCATGCTTTTACTGAAGACCATATACTTGGTTTTTTTAATATTGATATTTATACCATAATTGTTGCAAGCAATATTTATGTCTGTAAGTAATCTTTGTAATTCTTCTACTGTTCTTGCAACTAGTACAGTGTCGTCCGCGTATCGAATATTATTTACAATCTCTCCATTAATTACGATTCCTCCGTTTGTTTGTAAAAGGGCTTCCTGACAGATGCTTTCACCATATACATTAAATAACAGAGGTGACAAAATGCAACCCTGTCGTACTCCTCTACGTATTTCTATTGTGATGTTTCAGTTTCTATTTTGATGTTAGCTTTCTGATTGTATCATATATCTGACTGTAGCATATATCTGACTGTAGCATATTATCTAAACACTTTTGCATCGTAAAATATAACGTTAGACCAAAAGTGGTCTTCAAGGTTTATGAAATCATTACAAAATGCAACTCATCTCCGCTTGCGATCCTCAGTCAAAAAGGTTTCCTTGCAGCTGCACACTTTATCAATTTACTTGCTTTAGTTCTTCTTCGTGCAGTGCGAATGCTACCCTGAAACACAGGCTCTTCGCTAGCTTTTCGAGCTGTGCCAAAAGGAGCTTCTCTCAGATAATCTATCAACATCTCATCTTGTTGCTTTGTGGAGCCCCTGAACTTTGTGAAGCCCCTGAAAGCGTGCTATAGAGTGAAAATATCCCGTCGTTTGTCTGATTTTCCATATGCACATATGGCTCACGTTTAAATCTGCAGAAACTTGACCAAGCTTCGTCGAGTTTGGCAATTGCTGTTTTGTTGCGCATCATTCAAATGCATTCTATGCATTTTGGACGGATTTTGTTTTATTTTTCAATACGCGCGAAATTTTTGGCAAGCACTTTGACATTTGACAAATCCGTACGACACTGCGATATTACTACCATGTAAACATGAAGGTGTAAACTATTCAATGACCGCAGCCGTATATGCATATCTTTTTTAAGATGTGAGAATAACTTGATGACAAATGATTTTTCATCTATAAACCAGATATTTTTCCCAAATTTTTACATCCAGTTAATTATAGTCCGACAAGATTATAAAAACTATAATCTGAGTTTATTGTTTTATCAGTTTGGTCAACTCGTCAATATTGGTAAAACTATGCTTCCAATCGTTTTTATAGTTTCTGAAGCGCTCAACATTTTGTTGAGAAACTTATATTCTGATGACCAAAATGTAAGCCAAAATATGCCTGCTTCTAGAGTCTCAGAGCTTCTATTAAATCTCTCTAGGTTAATCCACGATCTTCTAAAACCTCATTATGTAGATTTACAATGACCCTTGGTGTTCATTACAATTAATTAAATTAATAAAATTTCAGATTCGCTTAATTTTTTACCTTCAAGATATTTAAAATTAAATTATATCATCACATGTTGCAATCCGCTAGAAACCGGTTTCAAATTCCTTTATACAGAGTTTGCGGCATAAGTCACCATGAAACAGCCCAATTCTATGCAGGCTTCTCTGGCGCACTTCAAATCAGGAAGTCTGTTATGATTCTCAGCTGATAAGTCCTTGTTTTCCGCGGTACTTCAGCTCTATTAGCGCATGTACATCCAGTGTTTATTTTGTCATATGCGTGAATGGCTATACTTTCCCAGTGAGAGTTATGTTTTTTCCGGTTTTTGTATTTTCTATATTTGTACCTGAACACGTTAGTTATCGCTATATGAAATTTTGTTTGTCTACTGATTTTGACCTACCAGTAAATTATTTTCCACACTAGTACAATCGACGAAGGCACTGAAATTATATATCTGGTGTTAATGCTTAGACGTTTTTCACGGGGTGGTATTCAAGATTTATGACACCGTTTAAATTCAGCAGCACATCTTCTATTGCTCTAATTGAAAATGAATAGTCCTTTTGCAGTTTTAACAATCGTTTATGAACATATTTCAATAATAAAAATGTTATCACCACATAATATTCAATTGTAAATATACACGTAAACTTCATATGCGTTCATCAAGCAGTAGTATTATCTTTAGAAATATAAAACGACGATAACCTCGTAACCTGCCTGCGATAAATCAAAGAATTTTGGGAATTTTTTTGAAATATACTCACTGCTCTCACTGGCGTAGAAAAGAAGGATATGTAGAATTTAAAATTTTAGGAAAATCTTAAAATGTTTCAATTTCATTATAATATTCGGTTTAGTACTGTATGATATACTCGAATACCAACATATTGATGGAATGTTTTATAGATTCTTGGAACTTCTTTTTATATCACCTTTACATATACATATACTCACGTCATAAAAGGTGTGGAATTTTAGTTTGATCTAATATTAACCTTATATATTTAAGTATGAGACTTGCGTCTCTATTTTAGATAAAACATTTATTCTGTTATTACAAGTGTGTAAAAATATAAATACTCGTAACTTACATATTTAAATATTATTTAGGTTTCTACTGAGTTTTCAATACGATTTTTTTTAAATATATTTGGTTCTCTACATTAATCAAAAATATATCAAGAGTTCAATTAGTTCACAATAATGTTGAGAAAACCGTCAAACTCGCTTTTGTATGAAGGATGTCGAAAAAAATATTATAAGAATTTTATTCTTGTAATAGTTTATTGCCAAAAAATTAACATTAAAAAATAACTAATTTATTTTTTTTATTACTCAATGAATCTACCTTGTTCTAGTTGACAGTATCTAAGCCTATTATAAAAAGCTAATATGGTATTTTGTAAATGCTTATTTGATTAAGTTGTTTCTTACACACTCTTTTTGAAATATTTCTATAAAAAAATAATCGATTCGTTATAAATCAGGAGATCTTGCTGGCGACTCAAGTATCCCTTTCTTGATATCCACCTGTCGTGGAAAACGTCTTCTTCATTCTTCTAAATAGGTAAAATTTTTGTTCAATCATCGGTATATAGTCAACATTGAAGGAAACTTGAATCGGTTTTACTTCTTTCTTTCAGTGCCATGTTAGGTTCCGTTAACGTTGATAATTTTATTGTCCACTTGTTTGCGGTTTTTATCTAGTCGAAATAGTTATTCGGCACTACTTATATCTGTCCAATCCTGAATGTTCTCTAGCCTGAACATCTACTTCCTTCCAGTTCCTATGCGACTCTCGATTTTACCTTTCATTATAAGCTGAAGGATTCTGTATCGGTCTTATCTAAAAACATACCCCAGGTATGATATTTCTTATCATAATAGTTTTAAATAATTCATAAACAGCAGTTGTTCTTTTTAATACTGCTTCGTTGGTCTGCATAGTTGTCTAGGGTATTTAGAACATTTTCTATGCAACAATACCTCGAATGCTTCTAGACGATTGATGGTAACAGCCTTCAGGATCTGGTCTCTCTGTCATATAACAACACAGATTAAATATAATATTTGATTATTCTTTGACGCAATATTAGGTTTAAGTTGTAGATACAGAAGAATCGTTTTATTTTTAGAAACTTTGTCTGAGCTGCTCCAATTTTGCACTCGATATTTTACTTGGATCTAGTTGTTCTGTAATGTAACATCCCAAATAATATTTTGTTGATCTATCCGTAGGGAAGAATTGTCGAGCGGTTGGCGGTTGGATATCACAAATTTTGTCTTAGCGGCATTCATTTTCAGACACATTTCTCTTCTTGTAGTGTGTATGCAATCCAACAACTCTTGAAGGCCCTAGATACTGTTGCACAAGATGACACTATCATCAGTATATCGAGTAGTATTAATCAGTTCACCATTGATTTTCACTCCAAACTCTTTATCTTGCAAAGCGTATTTAAGTTATATACGAGTAGATATTAAATGACAGGTGGAATCAAATACATCCCTGTCTAACGCCACCTTCAATGTATCATTCTTCAGTTAGTCTTCCATCTACTCAAACGATTGCTTTTTGCTTTCAAGATTCTATGATACGCAGATCTCTACCATCAATGCCCTTGGTTCTTAATATGTTCAAAAGCGTTTCATGCTGTATCAAAAGCTTTTTCGTAATCGTTGAAAGCTACATAAGTATCTGTACGTTGGTCGCAGCGCCTTTGGAGAAGTATATTTAAGGCAAAAAGTACCTCACAGGTGTCAAGTGCATTCCTAAAGCATTCGTGTAGATTTCTTTCACATTTAAAATTCTTAACTAAAGCATTGATAAGGTCTTATAACTAAAAACAGCAACAACATTGCGGTGAATAAGGATATGACTAATAGGAGAAAATAGATAGATAACAAATATATAACAGTTTGCCAAAAGGAAAACAAGAAATACTGAATTTTATAAACTTGCAAATAAAGGGCTCCAATAAGTCTTACCCTGGGACTTAAAAAGGACTAAACTCGTCAGAAAACTAAGAACTGTATAAGCAAAACTAATGAAATTGACATGTTAACCTATATGCTGCAAAAAAATTTTACCTTCAATAAAATAGTTAACTTCAAAAAATGTATTTATTAAATACTTAACACATGTAAGGACACACATTATCTTCAATAAACTTATTGCTAAACATATTGCAGTCTTTAAAAAATCGAAATATAAAATTATTTCGATTAATTTATTATAAGATATTTACAATGTAAATTAATTTAATTAATATTTAAAATTTCACAAAAATTGATAAATAAAATACTTAACGACTGCCATCTTTTAAAAACCCAAAAAGCTTTTGGGTTCATACTTAATAATATTCGATACAAATTACACCTAATATACTTGTAATAATAATAAGCTTTTCAATAAATATAAAATAAATCATATATACCTATCTTTAATTCAATTGTATCAATAATATCAATAATTTAATTATATACAAAAAAATTATATTGTTAAAATGTCTTTTTCACAATCAATTCTCGAAATTTAAGGTCATGATTCCATGTCGATTCAACTTTAATAGTCGATAAATGAAATAAGTATAAATTCATTGATAAAATGAATTATACTAATTTGCCCCTAACTGACCTTAAGCTCCAACAAAATAGTGTATAAACAAATATTTACACACTCACTCTAGGTATCACTAAACCCTGGAGGCATCGGTTAACTCCAAACGAGCAGATAGGGCTCAGAGAGGTCGACGTCTCTTTTCTAGTCTGCAAAATGAAGCGGTATACGGAAGTTGACAAAATATTTAACAAGGACGGCTCCGTAAATAATGGGGGTTGAAAAAACCCTATGAAGATTAGACAAATACTTCTATAATTTATGATTAAACGCTTGGGCTAAAAGAATATACTTACTACATATGTACGTGGGTTTTTCACTACAGAGCTCAAAAAACTTATTAATTTACGTGGGCTACCATGTCAGAACTAAAAATTATTGAGTGGCTATATAGAAGTTTTTATTGGGTACATGAGGGAAGGAATATACAGGTACGTGCATAGTACGCAGTTATTTTCATGAGGAAAATTCCAAAATTTTTATATAATCTCATCCAGGCAAAACTAATGGTGTGGGAACTTAAGTACTATATTCTTAGACTTAATAAAAACAGTCTACGAATAGTTATGTGTACAGTGCTCATCAAAATTTTTAATTCAATAAATTGAACCGCTATTTTAAAAGATCAATTGATATGTTGTTGTCTGGTCAGTTGCTTTCTTTGTTTTGGTTTATTTTGCGACAAATTTCAGGTCCTTCTTGATTTCCATTACCGTGTATGTTTCGCCTGACATCTTAAAACAATTCAGTTTTTCTTAAAACAATTTAAGAATTTTTCGTTCATCAATTATGCTTTTCCAGTATTATCCACTAGACTATTAGTGGTTTTCTTATTATACGGGCCAGCAACTTCAAGAATTTTCTTGTGCATATTGAACATGTTATGATTCTTTTCTAATTCTTCCATTTATGATCATCTCTGCTTGATCCATCCAATCCAAAAAAAAATTTTCTTTAATTGATATCCATCAAATTTTGCGCTAGGTACTAATAAGCAAGTGTTATTGGACAATTGGACAATGTTTTGTATTGGAATATTTTAGAAATAATTCGGTAGTTTAGTTTTTATGCGAAAAACTTATGACAGATTCGGATTCAGCATGGAAAGTTTTGTGGGGGAAATTATAAAACTGGAAAATTTTTACTTCTGATTTAGAGAAAACTATAAAAAACACATTATTTCGTAAACTATGATAGGTAGAGCAATTTTCATAATGGGTTTATCATCTACATGAAAGAACGCGTCTAAATTATATTTAATACTTGATAGATGATACTCCGATAATGGATCTATTTATTTCACTTCATAAAAGTTATTCTTGTCTTTCCTTTAAATATGATTCATGTAGAATTATAGTTACGGATATATTCTGGTTGTCAGAAAATTTCCCTATCTTCAATATAAATACAACTACAAAATTTCTAAAAATACCGAAATATCGTTATACATTCGAACCATTCAAAATAGGTTTTTAGTACAAAATACAATTCCTTTTCTTTATATTTCATTATTATTATATTTATAAGTTTCTTCTTTCAAAGTTGTATGTAAGCACGAATTTAAAAAAAAATTGCATGTTCTTATGAGATCACTATTTTTGGCTTGAACATATTTTTAAAAATTAAAATAACTTATTTCATCATTTTAGCAACAAAAAATGAAAGAATTTTTGGAAATAGAAAAATTAAATGAAGTTATGATGAGACAGGAGCTGGAATATGCTAACACTTCGAAGTTAAATAGAGACAAAGTAAGTACACTTGTGTTTAATGTCAATGAATACAGCATTATTATAATTATATTTACAGCATGTGACTATCTGTCATTGCGCAAATCACACACGTTTTATCACACATTTAGTAACAATATTGTAATGACATTAGACTTCGCAAAAAAGATGTATACGTCCATTTGGAATCATCATCATTCTGTCTGTTGTTATTCCCATGTGGAGTCGACATCCCTAATTACATTTCTTCATAAGTTTCTATCTTGTGTCCCAATATTAATCCCCTTTACCGATATGTTCTGCTTAAACTTCTCTCCCATGTTTCTTTGGTCTTCCTCGCTTACTTCTCCCAGGAACGTGCAAATGATCAATTCTTCGTATTAGGCGATTAACGTCTCTATGTTGAACATGCTCGAATCCTCACAACGTTTGCGCTATTATGTTGGCCTCAATTGATGTCATCCCTAGGTTTCCTCTAATATACTTATTCCTAATTTTATCCTTGTTTTTATAAATAAGGCACTAGAGAATGTTACCCTGTAGGTTACAACCCTAATGAAAATAAATAAGAACTAAGTACCGAGCTCGATGCATTTCTAGTTTCACATGACTTTTATCAGTCTCTCTTATACCTGTCCTAACACTATTTGTTACTTCGTCTCTCACAATCTTCACATACCCACTGGGAACTCATTTCTTATTGAGCGTCTACCATAGAAGGAAATCTTTTATATGTTTTGTCAAGATCAATGAATACCATTTAAGCGTTTATTTCTTTATTCTTGTGTTTTTCCTTCAACTGTCTTATAATGAAAATTGCATCTGTTATTGATCTGCCTTGCATAAAACCAAACTGATTATTGGATATATCAGCTTCGTCACTTATTTGTCTACTAGTGATTTTGCCCATCACTATGTGACGGTGATTCAATAAATTGCGATCTATAATCACTAGGCTCAATTTTTTCTGACTTCCTCCTATTTAAGGCTGGACGTAAACTAAAGTATATTTTAGTCTGTTGTACAACGTTCATAACAAATAGGTCACTTGTGGAGAATCGCTCAACTAATTCTAGTTTGGTAATTCATTTGTTGCGAAAGCTCGATTTTTGTAAATATATATATATATATTATATATATAATATATATATATAATATATATATATATATATATATATATATATATATATATATATAACAAGCGAGTTTTCTACAGCTGGCGCCGCTTCCCGCATCCTAATTTCCAGCGTTTTCTGTCGAAGCAATCTTCAGTTGTTAGATCTCTGGCGGTCATTGCATCGTCGACATCGTCTCTCCAGGATCGTCTTGGTCTACCTCGTTTTCTTCTAGTTGGCGGAGTCCATTCTTCTATTTTTTTTGGCCATCTGTTTTCCGGCATTCTTTGAAGGTGTCCATACCAGTTAAGTCGTTTGGCTTCGATTGTGTCTATTATATCTAGATCGATTTCCATTTCTCTCCGAATATCTTCGTTTCTTACCCTATCAAGTCTAGTGAGTTGGCAACATCGTCTCCAGTAGTTCATTTCCATGGCCTTAATTTTTGATTTGTTTCTTTGGTTTATTTCCCAGAATTCGGCGCCGTACAGTCCAATACTTTCTATTATTGTTTTAAAAATTCTTCTTTTATTCTCTTTTGTTATTTTTTTATTCCATAATAGTCTGTGTAGCTGTCTGGTGGCTGATCTTGCTTGGCCAATCCTGGAATGTATTTCTTCGCTACTTCCTGCTTTTGATGTTATTTGGACTCCCAAGTACTTAAAATTGTCTGATGGTTTTATAGTTCCCATTTCGATTTGTAGGCTTTCTGGTTTTTCTCCTACAACTAAGTACTCAGTTTTTTGTATATTAATTGTGAGGCCCCATTTGTTGTACTCATCTTCCAGTTTTCTAAGCATGTAGCTTATATCACTCTCGTCTTCAGCTAGAATGGCTTGGTCGTCAGCGAAGTGTATCGTGTACAATCTATCATCTCCGATTGGGATGGCCATATTGCAGCACTTTCTTCTCCACAGTGAGAGTGCCTCATTTAGATATATGTTGAAGAGTGTAGGTGCTATGCAGCAGCCTTGCTTTAGGCCCTTACTAATAGGAATTTCTCTAGTTAATCTATTTCCAGTTTTAATGTTTGCCGTCATATTTTTGTAGAGCTGTTGTACTGTTTGTATATTTTTTTTGCTTATTCCTTGTTTTTCCATTGCTACCCAAAGCATTGAAAGTGGTACACTATCGTATGCCTTTGTCAGATCTATAAAGACTATATGAGTTGAAAGGTTGTGGGCTAATCTTTTCTCGATAACTTGCTTTAGAGAGAATATACTGTCCATGCAGGACCTGCCTGCACGAAAGCCATCCTGTTCTTCTACATCTGTCATCTCTTTTTCAATTTTATTTTTTATTATTTTTCCATACAGTCTTGAGAGTGAATTTATGACACTTAGTCCCCTTAGTTGAATTTTGTATTATATTTTTTAGAGATCACCAAATTCGCATCCAATATTTTAGGTATTGTTCTGAAGCTATTTTCTTGTGGCATTGTAAATTAATTACTATTAAACTGGGAATAAGCCACAATTAAAGATAAAAATACGTTTATTGACGTTTCAATTTCCACTTCGGAAATCGTTCTCAAAATACAAACAGTAAATTAAACAAATTTTGTTTTTTGTTACATAGTGAAAAATTCTTCTAATAATTTAATTTTATCTGACTCGTTTATATTGACAATTCAGACATACATTATGCATTTTAAAGTAGACGACTTTAAAATGATATTGCCAATATTGTTGAGTTGCGCTCCTGGGACGACTTTACTTATAAGATAGTTCATTCGATTACATGAAATCAACTTTAACTAGAGAATATCCGTCAGAAAAAAATCATATATTGTAATTCGTATTTAAAAAGACAAACACATGACATGATGACAGTAAAATTCTCCAGTTAGTGATTCCATAGTAAATTAGGAGGGAAAACCAGGAAAAAAACCTCATAATAGTATCCCGACATTGTAAGTATTTGTTCGTGAATTTAGTTTACCTTCAACAAACATCAAAATTCTGATTTTATATGTTACGTTATTTAAAAAACATAAATGATGTATCCTCTATATGTTACTGACTTACTAATACTGGTATTTTCTTATTAATAACTTCCTCTTTCAATATTGGTAACCAGATCCTACTACATTCTGCCGAGAAATTTGCGACACAATTGGCCTCATTTAGCATAATTAGAGCCGCTTCTTTGATTTTTCTTAATAAGCGGCTCTAATTATGCTAAATGAGGCCAATTGTGTCGCAAATTCCTCGGCAGAATGTAGTAGGATCTGGTTACCAATATTGAAAGAGGAAGTTATTAATAAGAAAATACCAGTATTAGTAAGTCAGTAACATATAGAGGATACATCATTTATGTTTTTTTAAATAACGTAACATATAAAATCAGAATTTTGATGTTTGTTGAAGGTAAACTAAATTCACGAACAAATACTTACAATGTCGGGATAGTATTATGAGGTTTTTTTCCTGGTTTTCCCTCATAATTTACTATGGAATCACTAACTGGAGAATTTTACTGTCATCATGTCATGTGTTTGTCTTTTTAAAGACGAATTACATGCTATGATTTTTTTCTGACGGATATTCTCAAGTTAAAGTTGATTTCATGTAATCGAATGAACTATCTTATAAGTAAAGTCGTCCCAGGAGCGCAACTCAACAATATTGGCAATATCATTTTAAAGTCGTCTACTTTAAAATGCATAATGTATGTCTGAATTGTCAATATAAACGAGTCAGATAAAATTAAATTATTAGAAGAATTTTTCACTATGTAACAAAAAACAAAATTTGTTTAATTTACTGTTTGTATTTTGAGAACGATTTCCGAAGTGGAAATTGAAACGTCAATAAACGTATTTTTATCTTTAATTGTGGCTTATTCCCAGTTTAATAGTAATCAATATTTTAGGATCAACAAACTTTCAAAAGAGTTAAAAATTGTCCTATCTGACAAATAGTTATCTAGAGGATAGACATTTATTTATAGAATAAAATGTACCCGTCTTTTCACGTCAAATTAGCTATGTACCTATGTAGTACAAAGTACCTATGTTGCGGTTACAAACGTAAGATTTATTTCGTATCACACCAATATTTAATTAATTGTCAAAGAAATATCACCAATCGTTTAATATCTCTTTTGATTATACAATTTGTGGTGGCAGGAATAAATTAAATTATGTTAAGAAAATGATACATCTATATTAATGATTTTTCTCATAACACTGTTCTCCATAACACTAAAATATTATATAAGTTTGGCGCAAACATCTTCCACTTCAGAAAGTTCAATAATGTGTGTATTTAGCAATTCATCTTCAAAATTGTCTTTATTTTGATCTCTCGCTAGGTTATCCTCGTAGAATGTTGCTGTAGATTAGAACGGTTGAATCTTTTCAACTTTACATCCACTTCAATTCAATAAAATATTTTCCATATTATCGTTGTGCACCAACGCTGCAGTCACTTTTAATTTAAATTAAGCTATTTTAAATTAATCTAACATTATGCATTCTTTGTTACTAAAAATTCCGATAGCAATTGTTCATATTTTTATCTTATCAACCTCAAATAGCAAACAAGCTGTTTGTATTTTTCATCCACAATAATAGCACTTGCGGCTTTTATTTGTTCAATGTACCTAAACCTTTAGTATGATATAATTAGACCCAAACCGTGACATCCAAAGTAAAAGTATTCTCTAACACAAAATTGTTCTATATGGTCCACAGTTCAGTAAAAAGTTACACTATTTCGAGCGTCGTGGTTGAGAAGGAGTGGGGGAGAAGTCGGTAAATTAGTAGTTTTTTACGATTTTGGCAAATATTCCAAAATTATGCGGTTTAGGTAAAGGTTAGATACAAAAATGTTCTACGTCAAATTTAAAACAAGGAATGTCGGATATATAATTGATCTAAAATCAACGGTTACGGAGAGTGTA